CTGACAATGATACGCATAATTCAGTGAATAAATCGCTGAGTTGAAAAAAAAATCAAAAAAAAAAACACGAAACAATACATTCAAATAGAATTAACTCGCAAACTTTTTAAAGTTGATGACAAAATCTGATTTTATCAAAGTGTAATTCAACGCTAAATTTATGAAGATTTGGAGTTGAAAAGGCGAAAATGCTAAAATGATGCCACTGAGATGATGTGCACAACACAATACCTTTGCATCAATCTTCTCCGGATAGAAATTCGCCAACAGATAGCACAACGCTTTACCATCGGTCCAACAACTACTAAAATTTGTCAATTCGATATTCGGATATGACGGTGATATGGACTGTTGACACCATCGAAGTAACGCATTCCGTCTTGAACCTGAAATCGACTATCATTAAATCAGCGATACGAAAACATTGCAATAATTTATTCTCACCTCAAAACTTTATTAATACTGAAATTGATGATGCATTGAGATATAATACTATCAGTTTTTGAGGTAATTTCAGAGGAATTGCGTTCATCTACGACACCGAGTCTTGCCGTTTACAGCAAGTCGCTGCTGAATGAAAATGGAACGCAATTCACAATTGCAAGTGCAATGTATTTGTTCAAAACTTTTTTCGTTGATAGAACAATTGAAACTCACTTCTTCAATCATAAGCGTAAGCGTAATGAATCTGAAAGAAAAATCGAGAATAGAATCGAAATCTGTGCGATCAAATATAACGAAGAATTCAAAAAAGTAAAACATGAAACTAAACCTCGTTCACATCCGCGCATCAGACGTTCCCATGCGATATCCTCCCAGCACGTTGATCGCTCGTCGAATAGCTTGATACTTCCCGATGACATATTCGCCAGATTGCTTTGTCGTCGCTTTTGTAGATCGGCTATTTTGGCGTAGAGAGTCTTCATCTCCTCTTGTGCCTCTAGCTTGAAGTCGTTCGCCACTCGTACGGCGATAAGTAGATCCGATTGCATTCTATCCCATTCTTCACGTTCTACCTGCACAACTCCTTCATTCACATATCAGCCGTGCAGTTGTTCTATCAGAAAGTTTTGCTTCTANTTTGAACAACGAAACAGCTTGATTGCTAGTGATTAAGATGGATCATTCGATGACTGGAGATAAACCTCAATTGTAGAATTCAGTTTGAGCAATTCTTCTTTAAGTCGATCGATTTCTTCGTTCGCTTTTTGCAGGCTAACTCGTAACGCTTCCTTCTCGCTCAGCAATCCATTAATTCGCAATCGGAGACGTTCATTTTCTTGCACCAAATTCCGAAGTACACTATTCTCCTTCTGGATTAATAACAAAAATTTCTATTCATTCACGTTAAGTTCTCATTTGCTTCATGTCCACATAACATTACTCTATCCTCAACGGGATTATAGCTCCAAAAAATCAACGAATTCAGTGGTTTTGAAGTGGTTACAATAGCCAACTATCGCGCATTACATACGGAACGATACATTCGTTCAAACATCAAAATCGTTTTTGGTTTCATTGTGAAATTGCAATTCTTCTTCAAAGATACATTTGAACATGAAGATGAAATGATTAATCAGTAATTTTTGAACAGAATGAGGAAGAAACGGCTGAATGAGATGAGAGAATGAAGACAATTCGTCGTGACAATCAATGGAATGCGTCACGAACATTCTCATCTTTTGTTTGCAGCTCGTTTCGTTCATATTCGTCCACTGCCTTCTGCTTCAGTAAATTTGACAAGTGATCGATCTGTACGTGAAGCTGTGTCTCTCGCTTACGACTCTGTTCCAGCTCATTTTTCAACGAATCCACTCGCTCTGCGTAACTCTAAAATCACTCACCTCTTACTCAGATGATCAGTCTAACGAACCAATCTTATTGCGATCAATCACAATACGTAAAAAATATCCTACAATGAAGCGGAACGAACACGATAACGATAACACTAGATGTCTATTGATGTTGAATCATCTAAACTGTTTTCAGCTGAACCAATCACAGTTCTACAGTTTTACGATGATGTGTTATCAACAAATACAAAGTGACAGATTTTTTGCTTGCAATCACTTAATTTTAATCTTGGCTTAGTGCGCTATTGTGATTTAGTCAACCATCGGTTTACGAGTATCGTATTCCTACGAAAGCAACGAATAAAAAATTCGCTTGAGAAGCAAAAATTACCAACCGAAACTTGTGCCGACAGAACACTACTGCCTCGTTTCGCTGATATGTACTTCTCTCGAAGTTCCGAGCGCTCCCTGTCGTCGGCTTCCTTCTCTTCACATGCATCCAAGTGACTCGCCTCCAACGAACTGTCATCGACGCTAACCAAATGCGTTCGTTTCTCAGCCGGTTCGTTACATTCAGAATTATTCTTCAGAGTTGTTTTCGTCGCGGCCGTCGTTGCGTTATTATTCGTGGAATGATTATCTTCACGTAGTACTACCACTTCTGACTGAGTTTGTGTGTCGTCTCGACGGCGGTGGTTTCCATTTCGATCGCGATCACGACCGTTCAGCGATTGAGCGGTTGAGGAGGTGGCTAGCGATTGAGACGGTGATGAGCGACGTGCTGACGACGATAACCTTCTGGCCATACTTGCGCCAGTTTCACGTAGTTGTTTACGAACGGCTGATTTGGTGCGTGAACTATTGGACATCACGCCACCCATTCTGACTGCGTTCGTTGCTTTGCCAGATGCGCCGCTCTTCGATGTGCTGCTAGTAGTGTGTAGTGTTGTGCTGCCAGGTGCTGCTGGAGTAGATGTTGCTGCCGATAGTGTGGGCCGTTTTAGTTTGCTCGATCTCGCTTTCGATCGCCCCAAATCAGTGCATCGATTCGGTGATACCTTCTGCTGCTGAACCTTTAAGAACCATTGCTCAGCTTACTTCTAATGTGTATTTGCTCGGGGTTTAAACTGAGAACTCAGAAAACATCCTAAACGCGATCGTTTATTGGACAGTTCAGGCTGAGTACTGGTAAAGTTGAGAACTATCCGATGNGACGATGTTCATCGAACCAAATAGTTCAGACAAAGTCTGAACCTAGTTAAAAAAAACTCGAGTTCAGAGGTACTCGAAGCTAAGCCATAACAAGCAGCAAAACTTTATCACTGTATCATCTCATAACTTTCAATCGCATTCGTCATTCCCAATTAAATCGACTTCAACTAGCATTCTCAATGCATTAAGTAATCATTGTTCAATTCAAAGTATAATAGGCAAAAAAAAGGAAACTCTTCACTGAATCAAAAATGAAACTTATTGAGAAAAAGTGGGCGAATCAATAAATGGACAAACGGTACGGTACGTATTACAAACAAAATTGAGTGAGTGTTAATAATAATCGTTTAAGCGAAGCACCTCTAAGTGCAAACGTACACAACGACTGAACTGAACTATTTTACATTTTGCATGATGTCAGCCACTAAACACTAAAAACAGTTCACGCCTCTTGATCATAATGAGTCACAGAACAATCGCGGCTTGATGCTTTGTGCTTCGTTCACTTCCACAATATCATTTTAAGCTCTCTTTCGAAACGGAACATTCGAAACAAACAACCGAACGATAAAATATATCACGAACGCTTTTTCAAAACATTCAGAAGCGATTTCTTAACGAACATTTTTAAAATCACCATCGAAAATGCACTCACTCCACCCATTCCTATCAAAGGAAAAATTTTTCTAACGCTTTTGTAAACATTGCCGTTATATGGTTGAGAACGACTATTGACTGACGACTGAACTTATACTATTAACTCTATGAAGATGAAAAAATGACATGCGTCGTTCATGACAAACTGTTAATATCAATGATAGATGTGAACGTATTCTCTAATCGTAGGTGTAACATTAACATCACAAGACTGATAAAATCACTGATATTTAAAATAATATTAATAATTATCATTGGTAATTTTAGTCGTAATAATGACAGCAACAATAACCAAATTATAATTACTACATGCTGTCGTTTGAAGACAAGTCAGGTTGGAGACAGTCTGGAGACAAGTTTGGAGATAAGCGAACGTGAAGAATGAACGGTGGTTAGTGTGTCTGCAGATGAATGGAATTGTATGGTGTGCAGTTGACGATAATTTTCTCAATGAGAACAGAAGTGAAGCGGAAAATAAGGATCAGTTTCGAAATGAGAAATAAATTGTTTGCATACCAAAATATTGATGATGAACGCATAAACAAAAAGCTCTTCATATTGTTAATTTTGTTTTTATTTTGATTGATTACAATCTAACCTTCACATTTTTCATCAAATTTGTTCACTGTCCCAAAGCATATTTTTACTCTTTTCATTTCCACAAATCATTTACACTCGTTTTTATTATCGCTTAATTGCGACGGCAATAACTCGAAATCTCACTTCATTATCCTACTTTTCCAAAAATTTCTCGCATCGAAAAAATAAACACTACGCTTGAGCAATGCCATTAAAAACCAAAAAAATGATATCTATCAATCGAATGCGTTTGTTGTTAATGATGAGTTGAATATCCGACAATCCGGCAATACATTGAATTTTCCAAGAGGATTGGAAAAAGAAGTGAATGTAATATTTAGAATGTAATATGCGTTCAGTTCAGAACAGAATGCAGCGAAATTCATATTGAAGAAGAATGTCTTAAAAATGAAAAATGCTCTATGCTA